CTCTCTGAGAGAACCAGTGATAAAAATGTTCATGTTCATGATGATGATGTTGATGATGATGATGAGGAAGACAATTGTTTGAGAGACTTTTCAATGAAACGGTTGTTGCATAATTGGATATATGTATCAAAGTTTTTTGCCAAACAGTTACACACGAGGTATTATATGCCACTATGACAATTAGCTTGTAAACTTTTCAATTCCCCTACCCCTCTTTTTTTCTTTCTTCTTATAATGTAATCTAGTAACAAAATCTTTGATCTAGGTCTGTATATGGTAAACAGGGAAATTTAACTTCAAAATTATCCTGAAAATAAGAAGTAATGTATTTGAAAGCTCTTAGATATATTGTTATCAGTAAATTTAATAATAATAACAATAATAATAATAGTAATAATAATAATATTATGAATAATAATGATGATGATGATGATGATGATGATGATGGTACTAATAATGGTGGTGATGATGATGATGGCTATGATGCTAATATTAATACTGAATAAAAAATAAAAAGGTTATTTATAAAAGACTTAAAATATGCATAAAATAAAATTTTGAAAAAATACACACATGCAGACACACACACACACATGTGTGCGTGTGTGTGTGTGTGTATATATATATATATAATTAATTAATTTAAAGGAAAATATTTAAAAAATATCTTCAATTATATAAAAAAAAAAAATAACAAAAATATTGCAAAAATAAATAAAATAATCCTTTTTTTTTTTTTCTTTTCTTTTCTGGAATATTCAAAACTTTTTTTTCTGGTTTTTCTCTTTGAAAACTGAAACAGTTTAAATGAGATAAATCACAACCCCCACCCCACCTGCAAAAACAAAACAAAAGAAAAAAAAGAAACAATATAAATACATAAATATTGTTTTTGTTGTTTAATCTCTTCTTTCCCAACCCATGCTCCCAGATTTTACAAGCTAATGCTGGCCCAAAACTCCAACTATCTCATAAAGGTTGTAAAACAAAAAAATTTTAAAATGTCTGATATATATATATATATATATATATATATATATATATATAAGCATATATTTAAAAAAAAAAAGTTGAAAAAATGTAAAAATTGAAATTTTTAAAAATATTAAAAAAAATTGTTATAGTCTTTCCATCCAAATAAAAAAAAGGAAAAACGCAAAAAATACCTGAAATGATTTATTCAAAAATGAAACTGGAAGAAAAGAAATAAATGCTGCATAGTGCATTTCTTTATACTGTATAGATAAAATAATATTTTATGGTTAAATATACAAAAACATTAAAAAAGGCAGCGATGGTATATTACCTTGTACAAGTGTGTGCACTCAAGCCCTAGACTCTTGATAGCTACTTAAAGGACTGTACCCTTTGATATAAAGATAAAAAAATTCAGTAATATTGCCCAGTATCCTCATTTTAATGATGATGTTCTTGATTGTCTGAAAACACAGTACAAAATTTAGGGGAACTTCAGGATTTTTCATTCTCTTTCTTGGGATAAAGTAATTGAAGAATAGTAAATCTGAAAATATGATAACAATAATAATAATAATAATATTAATATATATTGCCCTAAATGCAAAAATCACTTTTTCCCTATTTTTAGTCTTTTTTATTATTATTATTATTATTATTATTTTATTTTTAATTTTTTTTAAAAATGCAGGAAATTTTAGAAACAATTTTCAAGGATTTTGAGAATGGCAAAGGAAACATTCACACCACAGCAAATGCATTCTTCCTAAAACACATACACACATCCATGTATTCATAGGCATATATAATTGCCATCATACTAGTATAGTTATGTATATTCAAATACGGTATACATACATTTTATGAATAAAAAGTTTGTATGTATGCACTTTTATATATATATATATATATATATATATATATATATATATATATATATAAATATATATAATAAAGTGTTAATCTTCAATTTTAAAAAGAGTAAATCTGTTATTATTGTCATCATATTTAAACAATGATAATAACAGGCTGATTAACAAAAATGATGATAATATTGTCACTAATCAGCTGGTACTGACCAAAGTCATTTTCATCTAGATTTAAAAATAAGTTATAATAAGACTGAAAGATATTTCTTTCTAACGTTTTTATAAAATGTCATTCATATAAAATTAAGCCATTCTTTTGTTTTTGTAGATAACGATTTCTCTTTTTACTGTTGATGGGATGATATTTCTAGGCTTTTACAAAAAAATAAACATCCCAACACTATTTTTTTGTTAATGACACACTAAAACAAAATAAGAGCAATGCCAGTATTGTGTGTGTGTGTGTGTGTGTGTGTGTGTGTGTTGTACTACACTGACACATGAATACTCATACTTTAATGCAGCCCTGATCTTTCCGGATTCATCCTGTCTCAACAGACACCAACACATTTTCTATACACTTGTTAATATATGCATGCAGACACAACCTTAGATACATTATATTGTATCACTGAGAGTTTGCTAATTTGTATGCATCTATAATGCATACCAGTCAATATAGGTGCAATTGCAATGATTTTATAAATCAAAGCACGTATTTGGCAATATGCACACATGCACATATATTTTTTTTATGATGATTATATATATATATATATATATATATATATATATATATATATATATATATATATATGTACATCTGTATACTGCCATCCTTATGTAAATTGATGTAAAGCTAAAGCTAGCCTCGACTTTTCAAATGTAAACCTGCTGGAAACAGATGAATGTGAACAACTCCAAAAGTATATAGCAAAATAGATGACAATTCTCAAATGAATTCCCTGTCAGCTTCTTATTGCCGGTAACAATGATGAAATGATGGTTATCATCTTAAGATCTTAATTATGGAACTATCTTTCATTGAGGTTCAAGGTTTTTATTTGTTGCCATGACACTTGGATATGACCAGTGATTATTCAATATAAAATTAACAGAAGATCAACAGAAAAAATCTTCATAAATCTTTGAGTCTCATTGTTTATTTTATTTTTTTAAATTGACATTACAGAAGTATTTTCAGTGTTTCCTCATGGCTGTTAGACTTAAAACACCAGGGCAGAGGTAACACTTCATTTTTATTTATTTTATTTTATTTATTTATTTTTCATTAGTGTATAAACAAAAATGTCTGACCTATAATCAGGGATAAAAGTTTGTTTTTTTTTTCTTTACCAGAATACCAAGATGAGGGGAAAGGGGACTGAAAAAGTGATTACAAAATTGATGCAAAAGTGTCAGGTGGGGCAAAATGAAATATCCAGTGAAAGGAAAAACACTTGAAAAATCATTATTATTATTATTATTATTATTATTACTATTATTACTACTACTACTACTACTACTACTATTATTATTATTATTATTATTATTAATATTCCTGAAGAAAGCATGAAATAATTCTTTCTATTTTAACCTCACCATCCTCCTCCTCCTTTTCCCCTAAATAATTGACTAACTCTGTGCAGTCTGTAAAAATAATTATAATAAATAAATCACATGACACATAAACAATTTAATAGTGAGACAAATAAACAGGTTACCTATCAGAAATTATATCCTTATACATGATGCTACGACGGTGATGAATATAACAATTGCAGGTTCAAACTACATATCCTGCACTGCTGAAAAATATACAGAAATTGCCATATACATTATATGTATATATGTGTGTGTGTGGATATGTATGTGAGTATGTGTGTATGTATGTATGAACGTGTGTCAATGTATATACACACATTCAAAAAAAAAAATTTCATGATCTTTTGCCAAAACCACCTCCCATTTTTAATGTTGAACAAAAATAATAATGTTGTTGTTGATTCTTATAAGGAAAATAACATAATAATTATTTAAAAATGGTTATAGCAGCATAACTCAGTTTCTCTACTGCTGAACTTTGCCAGACAGTGACCAAAAAACAAAAGAAGAAAACTAATCAACAAGTTTAAGTTTTCAATGTAAAAGTAAAGAAAAATCACATACAGTACCAAAAGTGTTAAAAATGAAATCTTCTAAATTTTTAATTATTGATTTAAAAACAAACTATTCTGCCTATCAGGCTGTGAGTGTATGTGTATTCCAGGTTGGAAAATAACAACTGTGTGTATGTGTAGGCTTTTCAACTTTTATTTTGAATGGAAAAATATTACGGCAACATAAAGTAGTAAGAAAATCAGAAAAAATTGTTTAAAAAAACAAATGAAGGAAATATAAAGTGTATATGAAAAAGAAAACCATGAAATCCAAACAAGTAGGAAGGTTGCAAAGGAAGGATTTTTTATGACTTTTTGGACAGTCCTTCATCAGAAATGAAAAAAAGAAAAGATGTATGAAATTTAGAGTAGAGTCTAATGATTAGTATTGGCAAAGACAACCTTATATGCATTTTATGTTGGTGATAATAACTGACCTAATATCTGATCAAAGACTTCATTCAAAAGTTTTCTATTTCCTGTAGCCCAACTCTCCTGTTTGTTGTGATATTTTTGTTCCTGTTTTATATTTTTCCATATTTTTAGCTCGTTTTCTTGCTACTCTATATTACCAAATGAATTTTTTCTACTCAAAATGAAAATCAAAATTCTCCATTAAAGATTCCATTCAACCACCCAACCTACACATACACACATGCATGCATATACACACACACAATTATTACTTATTTCATCTTCTTTATTTCTTAAGCTGGAATAGATCCTAGCTATTATGATACTGAACTGGAAAATAATCATATAAAGAAAAGTAAAAAAATTAAGAACATCAACAATTTACAAACACTCTTCATAGGATTAAAAGTCAAAGTAAGCTTGTGTGTGTGTGTGTGTGTGTACAAGCAATAAGAGAAAAGGGACAAATACATTTATATGAAAATCTTAGGTCCTTAAAATAAACATATGCAGGGCATGAAATATTGATTTAGAAGTAAAAGCACTATGTTAACTCAAGTGTGCTTAACAACAGCTATATGAA